GTGAGGTTGGCCCAGGATCGGACATTGTTTCGTTCTGCTGTGCATGGGGTCGCTATGAGTCGGTTCCGACTCGATGGCACCTGACAACAACTACAACATGTGGTCTGAGTTTTGAAGCCTTGCCGTGAATCTGCTTTGCCTGGTATTCTGTGGTATTACTGATGGCGAACTTCACTGCACCTCCACCCTAGCCACCATCAAGCCCCGCCTCTAAGAAAGCATGTTTTTAAAAAAAATTTCTTTACCAATTGTCAAAAATTTATTTGCCTTAATTTTTAGCACACATGTAATTGGTTGTTGGTTTTGGGTCCACATTGGTGGAATCTTTGCCCCCGTTCTTTTCTTCTTGAGTTTAGGACAATATCTGCAAGGGTAGAGTATGTATCAAGCTGTTCAGTTTTAATTGCCTCCGTTGACAAGAACAGTAGACTTAGAGACAAGTATTAGGAATGTTTCTACCATGCCATACTCAACACTCTAACATTTCTATACAAAGAACAGATAGACACTCAAATCACTGTTTTACTGAACAATTATTAAAGTTGTGTGAATAAGTCTATAATCACTTAATTACCAAACAATGGCAAGGCTGTTTTTAAATTGTTTTAATGTGACTCCGAGAATCTGCACATAAAGTGTAGAGTTTTATTAAGTGAGTTTGATAAGAAATTAATAGTGTTGTTCTGTTTTCTTCTCCTTTTTAAGACAAAATACACAACTAAGTACAGAGTTAAAAAATAAATATAAACGATAATAGCTTATGTTCTACTTACATGCACTTGTGAAAAAAAATAATTGTTTTATCTAAAAAGTCATGGAGGATTTCTCCAATAGTGTCTGATTTAAATAATGAGGAAAGACATTTCATGATAAATCTTTTGTTTATAAATTTCATTACAGTGCCTTAGCCTGTTAATCCTGGAAAATACTTTATTTGGCTGTTAAAGGGAGTTTCTACAATATACATAGGTTTTAAATTCCTTATACAATAATCCCAACATTTCTACCCCCACTGTTTCCATGTGGTTTTGTTTTTTGTTGTTGTTTAGCAAAATAAGAGTTAACTGTGTATGGCTTATTCCTAAATGTTTTGAAAATAAAACCACCAAAAGCAGTAAGTTGTGAATCTTGTGAATTTCATACCTAGAATTAATTTATAGTCAAAAAAATAAAGAAAAACAAAAGAAAAATAGCATAAAGAAATGAGCTAAGTCTTACAGTAAATCAAATTTGGAACATATTTAACAATGTGCAAATATGGGAACACCCAGATTTCAGTACAATTCAAATTTAAACAAAATTTCTGTTTGAGTAGTCCTTTCCCTGATTTGCTTCTGATTTTTTTCATTTACATGTCTCACTACCATAACTTGAGTAAGACCAAACCAAAGCTTAGTTAAATGATGAGTACCCATCCATTTGATGCAAATATTGCCCTGCTCAGTATGTCATTGGCATAACTGTATTTTACATGTTACCTTTAAGTAGAACATTCTGAGATACATTCTATACAAAAGAACCAAGGACACAAAGCAGAAATATAGGAAATCAAGCCTTGGCTTTTTAAAAATTAAGATAAGAAGAACCTGAAATGAACAGTATAGTTTTAAAACATCATAAGCTAAAATTATTATTTTATGTTTTTGTTTATTGGTTTATATGCACATTACTGATAAAATATGAGTCACACTTTTATAAATATTAACACTTAGCATGTAAAATTGGTAATAATTAATAGCCTCCTGCTTGTATCTTGTATAAACCAAATTATTTTTATCCTGTTATGTAAAATCAAATGTTCAAAGCAATTGACTTCAGTTTTGCCTATAATGATAGCTAAAAGGTTTGGTTTAAAAAATATTATTGACACCCCCTCCACACACAGAGAGTAGACAGAGATGGGCAACTTGGACACTGGATACTCAAATGGGGAGGGGGGACTACAAAGGCAAGAAGTGACTGGCTTACAAGCTTTAAAGAGGGAACCTAGAGCTAGGGGGCATGGAGGAAGGCAGAATCACCAGAGAGTACTATCCAATCTGTCTAGGTGGAGCTGATGAAATGAAATACAGATGGGTTACTCGCAATACTGTAGTGAATAATGGTTATCAAGACGGATTGTGAGGGTTGGAAATGCAAAGGTAGACGTTTTGTAGCAAGGAAGGGAGTGATTATCTCTCTAGTCTAGGAGCAAGGTCTCTGGGACCACCAACGGAGAAGAGCTGAGAGCGGGACCCTACCCAGAGAAGCAGGGACGTCTGAGATGGAGACAGAGACGATGACATGGAGGGATGAAG